CCCCCCCAGACAGCCCCGCTGCCCCCAACTCTGCTTCCCGGCGGCCGGTTTCCCCCACACACGCACCTCTTCCCAGCCCATCCCGCCCCGCTCCCCTCCCGGCAGCCACACTGAAGCCCGGTATTTTTTTCCCATAGCCCGATACTGGGCCGCGGCCCATAGTTTGGGAAACGCTGTTCCAATAAATCTGTTAGTCTATAAGATGCCACAGGACTTCTCGTTGTTTATGGTAAAAATGCACACTCTCGCTGAAAGAGATCAGTAAAGCACTGAATTAGGAAATACTTTCACAACAAAACTACAGCCCTTCCTAAATTTAGCAGTGACTAAAAGAGCACTGAAGAGGGTAAAACTCCACTCATCTGAAGAAATGGGCTGTGCCCACGAAAACTCATGTGACCATCTACATGTTTTGTTAGTCTATAAAGTGTTACCAGACCATTTGTTGTTTTTTAACTTTATCCTGTACAAACTAACTTGGCTACCCCCTGAAGCTACTGAAGAGGGTGTTAATGTAGTTTCACTTTATAGAACCAGCTGTAGCTGAAATCTGTTTATGAGAGAAAAAGCACTTTCAAATATGACACAGACTAATATGGGGCGGTTGCTTTGTTTCTTGTGTGTTTTTGTTTCCAGTAAGGAAGTGGCTTTGGCTTTAACTATCATTAAGCTTATTTCAGATCCACGGGAAAAGTCTGGATTGAGATTATCCCATGTATTTAATACAAGATTTGTAAGAGCAGTAATTAGATAGTTGCCATTCTAAAGCTTACATGTGTACTTTATCCAGGTTTTATCCTGTTGTGTACATACTCATAGACTCACCTTTAGCAATAGAAAATGTTCCTGAGATGATTCTATAGTTACATTATTTGATCATTAAAACCACATTATTTAATAATACTTTTCCTTACCTTACAAGCCCAGTTCCAACTAGCACTCCTGCTGTGTTAAGTAGCATCACTCCACTGTTGACTATATTTGGGTTTTGAACCATACCAAGCAAAACAAGTGTTAGTAGTTCCCCAATTATATGAGGTACTAACATAACAGCAAAGAAACATCCAAATCTGGAAACATCAGGGTTCATTCCTACAGTCCTGTACAAATACAGTCAAGAGATCATTTTAAAATATAAAAATAAACATTGTGGCATCAGACTTTTAAAAAATATCTTCCCTATTGTACCTTCAGGTACACTAATACCAAGTCATTTAGTTATTTGTGTGACATGGAGCTGCAATCATATAGTTGGATGTCTAAATGGCATGAGTACTGTCTGCAGATAATTACAGATGGAATTTTATACCCACAATATTTTATACTGGCATGTGCTGGGTGCAAGAGGAAGTTAGATTGGGGCCCTCGTTAAAATTAGGCTGTTACAGTCCTAACAAAGAGTGTACAAACTGAATTTATATACCAAACGAAAAAGAAGATCCAAAACAGAGCTGTTGGGCAACAAAGATCAGATGAGGATGCTCAATAATATTTTCCATTCTATTGGCTAAGGCCTTAGAAACAATCTTACAGTCAGAACAGAGACAAAAGACTCCAGCTCACTGAAGCTTTCCTTTTGAAGGCAATACTGTGAGACTATCTCAAAGGCAATTGAGACAGCGTCTTCTGTTGCTTTTAAGCAAAACTATCAGCAAATCGTACCTCAAAATAGATCATATCCTTTGTAGCAGTTTACAGGAAGGCCATCAACACCAGGGATCTTCCCAATAGTTAGTCCATTAGTGAGAGCTATTTGTTTCTGAACAGTTAAAATCTTCAGGAGACCACAAAGAAACTATCAGAGACTGGTGGGAAATCTTTGCAGATTTCAAGTCATGTATTACAAGTCACCCCACTGCTATGTCCAGAGGATGATACAATTCTCATTCAGTGGAGTTTTCAAGTGGCTGATTGCCTTCCACTGCATATTATTATTATTATTATTATTATTATTATTATTAATAATAAATGCTTTTCATTTGTGTTATTTCATTTTCTGACTTTTTCATCATTTGGTATATAGTAAAATAGCAAAGTACTACACTTAAGAAGGAAAAATCAAATGCCGAACCACAAAATGAGGAAAAACTGGCTAGGTGGTAGTCCTGTGGAAAAGGTTCTAAAGTTTACTGTGGCTTGAAAATAAGCCAATCCTGTCATACAATTATGAAAAAGGCTAGTATTATAGGGTGTAGTAACAGGAGTACTGTATGTAAATAATGGGAGGCAACTGGTTTGCTCTGAGGCCTCAGCTGGAGTACTATTGTCCAATTTTGGGCACCACACATTAGGAAAGATGGGGACAAATTGCATACAAACAGTCCAGATGAGAGCAACAGAAATGATAAATGGTTTATAAATTTCATCTATGAAGTGTAAACACCGGACATGTTTAACCTGGAGAAAAAGAGAGAGAAAAGAAACCTAATAACAGTCTTCAAATATGTCAAGAGCTGTTATAAAAAGAAATGTGATAAATTGTTCTCTGTGTCCCCTGAAGATAGTAATGGACCTGCTCTGCCTCAGGAGAAAGTTCATCAGATATTAGGAAAACCTTTCTAACTGTAAGGGTAATTAAACTCTGGAATGGGCTTCCAAGGAAGGTTCTGGAATCTCTATCACTGGAGGTTTTTAAGAACAGGTTAAACAAATACCTGTCAGGGATGGTATGTGTTTACGTAATCCTGCCTCAGCCCAGGAGGCTGGACTTGATGACTTCGAGGCACTTTTCAGACTTATGTTTCTGTGATTGTATAATATGGTATATTCCCTGCATAGGTTGTATGTGGCATAATTTTGTAGCTAGAGATGTTGCAGATTTCTTTGCAGGTATGTGTATGTGTTAGTTAAAGCAGTATGCACTATAGCCCATACTGCTTTAAGTGCCATTATTGGTTTTCAAGCAATCATGAAACAAAAAAGGTATGTAGGAGGCTAATATATGCATTACCTGTTCTGTGAGGTACTGTAAACTATTAGAACAGACTGAAGTAATAGCATTTTGAATTACCTTTAACTTAGTTTAAAGTGCTGCTTTTTCCTGAATTAGCACTCTTTATTAGGTAACACTGTCAATGTGCTTGAAACTGAACACAACAAGTAAAGACAGTCTCTGCCTGAAAGAGTTTACAGTCTGCAGAACAAATAAACTATAGAGAAAACACAGTGCCTTGGCTTCTGGAAAGGAACGCTACCTCATCAATGGTCACAGAATGCATTCTACATGTCCTCTTCTTGGGTAATCAGTTCACTGGGTGAGTGTAATGGGAATTTTAATAGGGGACAAAATCTTAGCAGAGAGAAATGTTATTTATATGTCAATCAAGGGGGGATTTTATTGGGGCACAGGCTGAGACAGGACCTCCCTGGCTGACAGATGCTTTTTTGTTTTGTTTGTTTGTTTAAACCTATGCCAGGATGATATGGAGAGGGACAACTTTGCCTGAAAGTGACTGCTTCCCTAAATACTTAGATGGAGTAAGCAGGAGACTAATCTTGTGGACAAGTCCCTTAAACTGACACTAAAAGTAGAAGGCTCTTCTCCTTTTTCTGAAAGTAAAGGGTTTTAAAAAAATAAATATTGTTTGCCAAAAATCCCTCTGTCTCTCCAGTTAGGGGCTTACGGGTAATTTGAAAGTCTCTGTAAAAAGGATCTCCTCAGTATAGCAGCACCTCCATTACCTCTTGAGGGAAGTTATCAAGCATGCACGAGGACACGTGGAGGACCTAGGATGAAGTCCAAGGTAATAGTGCATTTCATTCGTGTTCATTTTACTGAAGACCATAAAGTAACTGTAGTTTTATCATCATCAGAGGAAACATGGCAATAAATACAGTGTATAATACACCATCCTTTATAACTCAGAAAAGCAGACAGAATGATAACGCTAATAACCTTGGATAGAAATTTACCTAGTTACATACATCTCAAGGCTTTTAATTACTTTATGCCTGACATAAGCATCATTCCCTTCTTAGGAGCTATCGCTAGCATTATAAAAATTATCCACAGACATTTATGAGTCTTTTGTGTTGCTTAAAACTGGAAATTGCCTACCTGCTTCATGAACTTCAGATCTTTTTGTGAGATTAAATTAATTCTGGATCAGTCAAGAGTACTAATGATTTTAGTTTAAAAAAAATACATCCTGGGATTTAAGGATTTAATAAACATTTGGGAAAATGAAAAGCAATTAATAGAAAATTATAATCATGTAATAAAAAAGATTAATTATTACCTGTATTCTCCATTGACTTCTGTGAGAAACTCTAGAGAACTGAAGAAAGACTATGCCACAATAAGCAGCCATTCTCCCCTAAAATTCCCAGAATGCCAGCTTCAAACTGTTTGCAGACAGGCTTCCTCAGGATTAGAGGCTGTCCCCCTCCACTACCCTTGTGCATGAAAACGATATAAGACTTTACCCTTCAGAACTTGCCAAATCCCTTAAATAATGAAGGACCAAATTCTGACACCTTATGAAGGCTTGAGCAGTACTTTAATCCTTAATGTTTGTGGGACCACTTGTCAAGTAAGAAAATATTCAATATGAGTAAGGAGGATAGAATCAGGCCTTGGATAACTTCATAAATAAATATGAATTTACCCTAACCTCAGTATTTGGAGGGTTCAAGATTACAAAGCAATACTGCAAATACTGAGATGATCTATTTGATTAGATTCACAAGCTTTTAAGAGCCAAACCTTTTGTCTTGGTTTTATGTTTCCTAATAGAACATTTTCACCAAAAGTCTAACTTGCCAAGTCTATGCCTGAACTGTATAGCCTGTGTCACCATCACTATGCTGTCATAGGTCGCATGTGTAGACATGGTATACAATGACAGGAGGGCTGTGTCTATACTGGGCCACTTATTCCGGAAAAGCAGCCGCTTTTCCGGAATAACTTGCCAGCTGTCTACACTGGCCGCTTGCTTTTCCGGAAGAGCACTGACGATCTACTGTAAAATTGTCAGTGTTTTTCCAGAAAAACTATGCTGCTCCCATTCGGGCAAAAGTCCTTTTCCAGAAAAACTGTTCCGGAAAAGGGCCAGTGTAGACAGCACAGTAGTCTTTTCCGCAAAAAAGCGCTGATTGCAAAAATGACGATCGGGGCTTTTTTCCGGAAAAGCACGTCTACATTGGCCACGGACGCTTTTCCGGAAAATGTGCTTTTCCGGAAAAGCATCCTGCCAATGTAGATGCGCTTTTTCCAGAAATACTTATAACGGAAAACTGTTCCGTTTTAAGCATTTCCGGAAAAGGGTGCCAGTGTAGACGTAACCGAGGAGTTTATATGCGGGTGTGGAAACACCACCTTCCCAACTGACAGGTTTGCCAACAAAAGTGCTGTTATGGCAGCACCGCTGTGTCTACACTAGAAGTCTTTTCTGTATAGGTATGTCAGTCAAGGGAATAGCTTTTTCTCACTTCTGACCCATGTAGCTATGCTGGCATAAACTTTAAGGCTGTGTCTAGACTGGCAAGTTTTTCCACAAAAGCGGCCGCTTTTGCGGAAAAACTTGCCAGCTGTCTACACTGGCTGTTTGAATTTCCGCAAGAACACTGACGATCTCATGTAAGATCGTCAGTGTTCTTGCGGAAATACTGTGCTGCTCCCGTTCAGGCAAAAGCCCTCTTGCGCAAATCATTTGCACAAGAGGGCCAGTGTAAACAGCACAGTACTGTTTTCCGCAAAAAAGCCCCGATCGCAAAAATGGCGATTGGGCTTTTTGGCGGAAAAGTGCGACTAGATTGGCTGCAGACGCTTTTCCGCAAAAAGTGCTTTTGCAGAAAGGCGTCCTACCAATCTAGACGCGCTTTTCCAAAAATGCTTTTAACAGAAAACTTTTCCGTTAAAAGCATTTCCAGAAAATCATGCCAGTGTAGACGTAGCCATCGTGTAGATAAGAGTTAGAGTACAACAATTATTGTAACACCCCTATGCCTTCCTTTTGCTTACTCTCTGAAGGGCAATATCATAAAGCCAAGACAGGAGTCCTGTTCCTGACACGGGAATTTAAGAGCATCGCAATGAGAATATCATTCTAAGAAGAACTCAATGATTACCAGTATATAAAGACGCTGAAAATCACCACACTGATAATACTGAAGGGCAGGAAATGTAGTATGTATGCTAACAGTATTTGCCACTTCTGGTATAAGCCATCTTTGCTTTCTTGGTCACTGATAGCACGTAATGGAGGAACTGGAATAGAAAATACAATAAGAATTAAACCGCCATTAACCAAAAATACTATGCAGAAGTTGCACTCACAAAGCTTAGACAAGGCTACATGACAACTCTCATATTATTTCAGAAACAATTTGTATGAACCCATCTGGTGGCCTACTGTCAGTACATGTGATCACCTTGCTCATTAGTAGATCGGATAGTCTACACTTAACCACAGGTGGCCAAATGCATCATGGGAGTTACACGCTTAATCTCTAGCAGGTAAGAATCTAATAATACTGATAAAAACTTTTTTTGTGGTCAATTTATGGAAATGCACATCTTCTATGATGAGGGCTGGTCATATATCTGCCCCTGATAAAAAAGTTTTCACCATCCAAACAGAGGTATTGTAACTACATAGTACAGGCAGTCCCCGGGTTACGTACAAGATAGGGACTGTAGGTTTGTTCTTAAGTTGAATCTGTATGTAAGTCGGAACTGGCGTCAGGCGCTGCTGAAACTGATCAGTTTCAACCGCGGCTGAATCTGGATGCCAGTTCTGACTTACATACAGATTCAACTTAAGAAACCCAGGCGTCCCCAAGTCAGCTGCTGCTGAAACTGATCAGCGGCTGATTCCAGGAAGCCTGGGGCAGAGCAA